TGCCTCCTGAGANCAGTCCTGAAAACCGGCCTCCTGAGGGCGCGCCTTGGCCACACAGACGCCCTCAGCTTAAGAAGGACGCACCGATCACTGGCTCCGAGAGAATCGTGAGGAAGGTTTAGGCCGGGCCCCTGGGCGAGCCAGGCCGGGCCCCTCGGCGAGCTAGGCCAGGCCCCTCGGTGAAGCACTCGGACACAGGGGGTCGGCCCAGGGGAAGGGGATTTAAGGGGCACCGCAGAGGACTCAGAGGACGGCTCTCTGAGCCACACAAGGCCAGCCGCAGTGGTGGGAATTACAGGCCGTCCCACNCGGCTCTCTGAGCAACACAAGGCCAGCCGCAGTGGTGGGAATTACAGGCCGACCCATCCCACTCACCTTCTTCTTGACAGTCTCCCAGCAAAAGGAACTTTCCTGAGTCTCCACAGCGGTTTCCCCAAACGGGATGAACTTACTCTTTGAAGCATCCGATTTTAGTAACTGCAGGGGGTGGCCCCGGGGCCCTGGCTGGGCTGCCAAGATCCCTGCAGGACAGAGGTGCTCGTCCCCCAGCCGGGCCTGCTGCGCACTCAGGAGGCTGCAGCCGCCGCCCCAGAGACCTGAAGGGCTGGGGAGGTCACCCTCCCACCGCTGGGTCCCCCAGGGACGGCCCACGTTCAATGACTAGCTCATGTGAGAGGCAAAGGTCCCATCCCTCGCCTCCTTTGGGACAAATCAGGGGACTTTTATTTTCAGAGCTCCTTACACCGTCGCCTGAGGCAAGTTCATGGCAGGTCAGCTTCTCTCACATCCCGCTTCCCGCCTCCTTTTCTGCGTTTGCCCCCCTGCCCCACCCGAGAGGACCCTGACCATGGAGAAGCCTAAGGCGCCTGCGACGAGATGACCGGAGGCGCCGCGCATTTCAGACTGGGGCCTGCTGCGCATCAGAATGAGCGGCCGCCTCCTATTTAGACGGGATTTATGGGGAAACGGACGCGATTCGATTAAGGGAAAGAAAAGTGATGTTTAGGAGCCTGACCTGACATTTAAAAGCAATCTGAGCCCGGCCGGGTGTGGCTCAGTGGTTAAGCATCGACCTAGGATCCAGGCGATCAGGGTTCGGTTCCCGGTCAGGGCACATGCCCGGGTTGTGGGCTGCAGCCGATCAATGACTCTCTCATCATTGATGTTTCTATCTCTCTCTCTCCCTCTCCTTTCCTCTCTCTGAAATCAATAAAGATATATTAAAAAAAAAAAAAAGCAATCTGAAATTCTTTAAAAAAAGAAACAAAATAATCCCATGAATTGTTCTCTGCTTTTACAGATACTATGGAAGACGTGAGAGACATGCGTCCGTGTTCCCAACGTTTTCACGGGTCTCCAAAAGGGTCGTGGTATTGGTCACTGTCAAAAGCAAGCATCTAACTCGGCAGGCATAGGATCAACAAGCCAGAAACACTATCTTCGGTCATTAGGAATATTTATCTGTGCTTAAAAATCATAAAACCAAGAGAAAACTGCAGCGAAATCATTTTAGCTCTAGGATATTTATTCTGCGCAGTGCGTTTGCTTACCTAGACATCTCAGCATTTAAGAGGGGAAGTGGACTGGACGGGATAATTGTTGTGGGCTCCTCACAAGCTCCCAGGCTCTGCCCTGCTGGTCCGGGAGAGTGCAGGGTGCCGAAGTCCTGGGGGCTCAGCCGGTTGTCAGGCTAATTTAGATGCTTTGCCGAAAGAAGGAAAACACGGACAGTAATTTTAAAAAATGTCAGCTGAGCCGGGCTGATGTGACTCAGGGGTTGAGCGTTGACCTGGGACCCAGGGGGTCTCCGTTCGATTCCCAGTCAGGGCATAGGCCCGGGTTTCAGGCTTGATCCCCAGTCGGGGCCTGCAGGAGGCAGCCGATCACCGACTCTCATCATGGATGTTTCTCTCTCTCCCTCTCCCTTCCTCTCTCTGAAATTAATAAAAATATATAAAAATATATATTTTTTAAATGACAACTGAGAGACTCCTGGAAAGAGAACCTACTGAGCAGTGGTCTTTGCACAGGGAGGGGTCGGACTGGCTGCTCCTCAGTCTTAAACTAACATTGAGGAGGAAGGACCTTGTCACTGCTCCTACAGATTTGGCCACCGGAGTTGGCGTGATGGCTCTCCAGGTGGGACGGACGTGACCCGTGGCTACAACCTCAAGAACCAAGACCAGTGCTCGTTACTAGCTGGTCACACAAGGTTTTCTACTGTGATGAATGTTTGGAAACTGGCCCGGGGGGGAATGTGGGTCAGAGGAGAGAAGATACAAACTAGGCCTGATTTTTTAAATAATGTTTGACTATTTGCAGTTGGCCACCGACTCGTTTTTTCACCCAATAGTAATACGGAAATGAGGATGTCACTGAACCTTTTTATTTTATTTTATTGATTTTAGAGAGAGGAAGGGAGAGGGAGAGAGAGTCATTGATGGGCTGCCTCCTGCACGCCCCCGACAGAAAAGATGCTACCACCATTATTTGTATGCACATAACTTCAAATATAAGATAAAAATTAATAGAATTAGGTGACATGACAAACCAGAAGCTAGTGGATCAAGCAGTCCCACTGGTACGTATACGGATTATTTGTTTAACAAAATTAAGTAACACAAGCTAATGGACCCGTGTAATGATTGTACGCAATAAATAAAGAATATTTATTATTCTCAAATACACAGAAAGCCACAGGGGGACGTGACCGTTATCTGTCCCAGGAGCTGGACCCAGGACAGCGTGGAGGTTGCTTTCTGTCTGATCCTGACGGATGATCCTTCCGACATAAATCACCACCAGCCTCGGCCTCCTGCTACGTGCTGGCTCCTGGAATAGGTCGTAGTCCTGACCTGGCCAAGCACGTAGGTCATTTCCACGAACTCGAGCGCACCAGTAGCCGCCCCCGTGACCCCTCGCGGCGGCTCACTGCCCAGCACCTGCCGCCCGGCCTGGACGCCGCGGGGACACACGTCGGGGATAAGTTTCCCCAGAGACCCTGTTACTCACCGGGCTCGAGGGGCCGGTCTCTTCCTTAAAGAGGTAGATGTTCCAGTCTTGGCGCGTTCCCCTGGCCTGAGTGTACTAACGTCCGGTTTTTAAAACTATTTCAAAGACTGAATCGAAATTAAATATTCTCTCCTAACAACACGGGACAATGAATTTATTAATCACCCACGAAAAGGTCGTTTTAAAAGGCTACATTTTGAAACAGAAAAGCGTGCCTCGGTGCTTCAAAGGTTTTGAGAAATGTCAAATTGGCAGTTACAGCGTATTTTCCAATAAATTATACTCAGAAAAATCCTAAAGTCGATAACAGGACAAACACTAAAACTAAGACTGAAAATAATGAAACAGACAACCAAGGACCAAAAGGGGGGCCAAATAGTTCTTGAAAAGAAGGAATTTGATGGGGGGGGGAACCTCCTGCAAAACTAATCAAGGGGGGAAAAAGAAAACGCAGAAGTAAATGATTCTGGCAACATAGAGGAGCCGTCCCGGCAGAGCCGACATTTAATGGGACATGAAAAGAAATGTTTGGGATAAGCGTGAACCTAGCTGACATGAGTCATTTTATTTTTTTTATTTTTTATTTATTTTTTGGTTTTTTTTAAGTTTTATTATTGTTTAAAATATTACAACATGAATCATTTTAAAGTAATGCTGCCTTTCCAAAATTAATTTAAGCCGGTTACAACGATAGCCACCAGATAAATTTGTATGTGGGACCTAATGAGCGAAATAAACCGATGGACAAAGCAGATCCAGAGACGGGGAGACACCCAGCGGACGAGGGATCTCGGGGGACGGGCCCGGGGGGCTGGCCAGACAACTCAGGTGCACAGACGCAGAGCCCGCGGGCATGGGCAGGACTGCGGGGAGGGCCTGGGGGCATCTGCAATGCTTTCAACGCTAGAGATTAAACCTATTTAAAAAACGACAACACTGCCTTCAAAGGAAAGAAGATCAGTTGCGAAGCCTCCAGCGTAAAGAGGAGCCGGGTTTGATCCGCAGGCAAACAAACTAAGCCTATAAATGGCAGGATGGTTTATATAAGGAATATTGCTACGACTGGAATAGGAAATTAGCTCTTGTGTCGAGAGCTAATGTTGAGATGCTGTGACAGAGCCAGCGCTTCCCAGGCCCGTGGTCCCACCGCAGTTCCCGACTCCTGGCCCTCGGCCCTTCCCGCGGGGCCCCGCTGATCCGCGCTGGCCGCTGGGCTCTGGGCCTGTGGCTCTCGCATCGGGCGCTTGTGGTGTGTCCAGTCCCCCCAGCCGGCCCGCAGCCCGACTTCACGCCCCACCTGGAGCCCAGCAGAGGCCTTTCCCCGGAGGGCGAGCGCCCGGGGCTGAGGGGACACGGGGCTGCCGCGTCCTTCCCGGCGGGAGGCAGCCGGCACAGCTGTGACTTTACCGAGGGCAAGTGCAACGCAAGGGCCGGGCCAAGTCCGTGCCGCCGCCCGCTGGCCCTGTGCCCGCCTCGCCTCCGCCGCCCGCAGCTCGGGTTTCATTCTTCTAAATATAAGGGGCTGAGGGCGCCCAGAGGCCAGCGCCCCGGCTTCCAGGGCCACGCCATCCCCTCCGACCGCCGCAGGCTTTTAAACTGGGCGTTTTCTGAGGAAACTTCAGAACCACCTTAATTGTGAAAGAACAAACTGGAGCGAAGACCCAGGTGAGCGGCTCCATCACGGCTGTGTGAGTGTTCCTTCCCTTGCCCTTAGGTTTGTTTCAGGCGGAATAAGCGTGGGCATTCTTCGCAGTCGGGTATATACTTTTTTCTTGCTTTTCCAAATAAATACCCGCATTGACTGCATCCTTTTATTTATTACACTATATTGGATTATAATTTTGTGTGAACTTTTCAATTCTTTTTATTAGATATTTATTACACGGTATTAAATTATGTTGCTTTGCAAAAAATATTCGTGTGGAAAAAAGCGGCTCCACGTTGCTGACGTTAACCTCCCTCTCCCGTCTCTGTCCCTCAGGCGGCTGCTCACGGTCTCTCCCGGGCTCGGCCCAAGGGGACAGCAATGGCATCCGTACCTTCCATAGGCTGCCTTCTGGCCAAAAATCAGTATTATCGCAGTAAGTCGTGTCGCCATGAGAGGTTACCCCTAGAGACTGTGATCAGAAGCGAAGTCGAGGGTGTTAGTAACCTACGTGGTGTGTACTGGTCAGGACTTAAGGTGGAAGACGGAGGGCGACAGTGAGGGAAACGGGAAAAGAATTCATCAGAGACCCCCCAGGCCAAGACGATCAAGCAGCTCATTTCTTTGTTTCAACGTTGTTACATTGTATCGATGAAGCCATTAACATAAACAAGTGAAGATCTGTTTATACGTCACGATGATATTTCATTTCAATACCTTGCATTTAATAGAATACATTAAAAACACATTTCTAGAAATAAAATATTGTTCATGTTTTAGAAAAGAAGGGATAGTATGACTGCTTCAGAGCGTTTCTAGTTCCTACGTTGCTGCTGTGGGTAACGGGTTAGCATCTATTGTGCCAGTTCTATTTTCATCTATCCATCTGTGAGTATTTATAGCTCAAAAGAAAACTGTAGCTTCGTAAAGAAAATTCAGAAATGTCATTAAATAAAATGATCACTTTAAAACAAAGTTATCATTTATTGAAAATATGCCAGCAACATGTTAAAAAACTCTTACTTCCAATTCGGTGTTGGAAACATCTACGGATTTCTTTTTACAAGGTTAAACTATGCCCATTTACCTATATTTTAGCTACAGAAGCCACTTTTATATTCTATTTTAAAGACTGATAGGTTTCAAATACAAGTATGACAACACAAACTTTTTAAAAATTCCTTTATTTCTAAATTTGATAGCCTTTGCATGCTATTTAAATATAGACACATGTAATATTTCTAATGCAATAAAAGAATGTTATCCATTCTTGATTTTATACTTCGTAACATTTTTAACCCGACAGCATTTGTAACACGTTACGCTCTGTATCTCTGGAGAGAGCAAGCTCACCGTTGCAGGGAATAGGCCGTGTTAGTAAAAAGCGTAACACGCACTCTTACTCTGGGAGACCTTGCAATTGGTAGATGACTATTTGAGTTTTAAATTCATACATGCACGAGCCAGGAGCAGCCGGAGCCACACTGCCCGAGCCGGGGTGCGGCGCCCGCCCGCGCCTGCCGGCTCAGGCCGCACTGCCTGTCTCCTAGAGGCCAGCGTGTCTTCCCTGAGCTCCGACGGCCTGGGCTTCGCCGACGAGGGCGACAAACGCCCCCCCGAAGGTGCGCTCTCCCTCCCCGCGTCGCCCTCGCCTCCGTTTTAACCCCTCGGGCTTGTGGGTAAGGAAGTAATCCAGTTGTACTTGGCAGGGCTGCCGGAGATGGCAGAACCCACCTGGTGGCTCAAGTCCTTCTTCCACGCGGACCCTGTGCTCTCGGATGTGATCAGGAAGGAGCTGTGCGCCAGCGGGTGAGTCCGTCCCTTCCCACCGGCACGCGTCCTGCTCGGCGAGTGAGGGTGTTTCTCGGGGACGGCGTCGGCTTTGATACAAAGCGCGACTGGGGGAGAGGGGGCCGAAGAGCTGCTCCCCACTCTAGTTAACCAACCACCGGTCGGGTCACGAGCGCTTGGTCTCGTTCTATCACTGACGAGCGACTGAAGAGCCATCTGCCCGTTTTTATTATTGTTTAGCGGGGGACAGATTGGGAATTAGAGGCAAGGTTCTAAATCTTTTTTATTAATATTCAGGAGGCAAAGAACAGTTATCTAGTTGCTGTCTCCAGCGGCCTGGGTGGGTCCCACTGCTGGCACTTAATTTGTTCTTGAGACAATGGCTGATGTAACACTGATAACCAGCCATTAAATAGAATTAAAAGAATGATGATTTTCATAGACTCTAATGTTAAAACGTAAGCATTTTGACTTTCTAATATAACGAATTTGAAATAGAATCACTTAAATATCGGTGTTTTTTAAAATCCGAGGAAGACACTGTTTTGGAAAGCTGTATCCTTTCCTATCAAGTCCGTGGGTGTGAGTCACCCAGGTGAGCGTTTGGCTTCCCTCCTGCCTTACCTGGGCTATAAAGACACCTGACTTACGGAGGAGCCGCTCAGCTGGTCTCGGTGTCGCCCCGTAAGGACGTGGTTGTAACGACCGTGTTTTACGCAGCACCAACTGTTGACTCTGACCATGGAAATGACGCCCCCTGCTGAGCGGCTTCCACCGTGAGCGCCACCCTTGGGCACTCAGCGATCCCAGATAACCCTGCTGCACCGTCAAAAGGCAAAAACCTGCTGAGACCCCGTAATCAGGCAAGATCACAGCCACCCACGAAAGCACGGCATCCTCAGGACGGAGACGGCTGCTGCGAGTGGCATCAGTGTCACAAAGGATGTTAGAGAAGCGTGGTTTAGAAACGTGCCCCTTGCAAGCAGCTGGTCTTCAAATGTAGTTGCCTGTTCATAATCCATGTTATTTTTCCAAAATTATTTCAAATTTTTTTTTTTTTAATTTTCAAAAAAAATTTTAGACTCCTTTTGCTTGTCAAATGATTTGTTATGCCTTAAAACTGAAGCGTCGATACCTAACGTAACGGTTGAAAGGTCATTGGATTCACATGTGAAGAGTTGCAAAATTTTTATTTTTAATTATGACCACTGGAAATAGCAAACATACCTATAAATACATTAGTTTAATACATTACTGTACATTTAACCAATTGTTTGAGTAGACTTTAAAATTTAAAACTTTATTAATATTTAACATTAAGATGACACAATGTTAAGTAAAAATGGCAGTTTAATCTATATACGTAGTGATCTTAGTTGTATTAAAAAGATACATATGCACAAGATGAAAGGCAATGTAACAAAATAGCAACGGTGGCTATTTTTGGAGATGGGATTATGGGTGGTTTCCATTTCCTTCTATTTTTCTGTTACTCAAATTTCCTAATGCAACCCATTTTTCTGTATAATTAGAAAATAATGGAATGTATTTAAAAAGGAACGCTGGAGTAAATTTTCTGAACGTGAATACATCCTACGTTAGTTCGAGTATTTCCTGCTTTCCTCAGTATTGGGTGGGTGATGAGTTTCCGTTTAAAAGCGCCTACATGCTGCTTGCAAATAGTTTTCAGCGGAAGATGATAAACGCCCGGAAGCCAGGGGTGTCGAGCTCAGCCAGAGGGGATCGCCACTGGGGGGTTTCAGGGCCGCTGCTGCGTTAATGGCCCTGTGCCCGTGACCGTTCACCAACTGTCCTCCTGCCCGACAGCAGGATGAACTACCGAGGCCACCCTTCCCAACGGGCGCTGCGGGCCGCTCCCTTCCTAACTTCCCAGTTCCATTTTGTGACCACCTGTCACTCTGCCGTCAACGAAGGGCACTCAAGTGTCACCTTGGCCCAAGCATACACCACTGTCTACATATTACTGCTTTTTCTGGCTGTCTGCATTTATAAATTTTATCTATTTGTAGAGGCCAGTTAAAGTGTTGGACTATATATTTCATTTGGCTTTCATCTAAAATTAAATCACACGAATTAAAGACTGACCTTTTCTAAACTGAGAGAAAAAGAGGGCATAGTAAAATGGTGAATTTTGGGGATGATTTGTTTTCAAGATTATGAACAAATTCCTTTTTATTTAACAACTTGGTGTGTCAGCAGATTGCTTGCTTAGGTTATTTGATAAATTTCCCAAGTGTCAGAATTGTTGCTTTTATATTAGTTTAGAATAGTGTTATTGCTGCTAAAAGTTACTGGGTGAAGTAGTTGAATTTTACATAGGCTTCTGAATCACACATATTATCATGACCAGATACGGTTATTAAGCACTTTAGAGCGGTGCACACACACACAGACATGCGAGGATAGACTGATCAGTAGACGTTAATATAAGGAATCTTCCTGAAAAGTAATGCTAATGTGAACTCATAAAATGATTTGAAAATGCAAAGTATTTGTGTGCTGCCCGAGTTTCTACAGCAAGTGGACTTAAATGTGAAAGACAACAATCGTAGGACTTCTGTAGAAAAATAAAAGCTGATTTTTTCATGATTTTTGGATTGAGGGTGTGCGGAGGTGAATTGAACACGATTAAAATTTAAAATGCCAACTAATCAAGACACCACAGAGTAACAGAAACCACAAACTGAGGAAAGATATTTGCAATACATATAACTGGCAATGGATTAATATCCAGATTACAGAAGGCACTCCTGCAAGCTAATTTTTTTTTAATTTACTGCTTTTGAGAGAGAGATGTTGTTCCACTTACTTTTGTGTTCTTTGGTTGCTTCTTGTATGTGCCCTGATTGGGGACAGAACCCACAACCTTGGGGTATCAGGGTGATGCTCTAACCAACTGAGCCACCTGGCCAGGGTTCTACAAGCTAATCTTTAAAAAGAAACTACCAAATAAAAAATTTATAAAATACTGTAATTGAATTGAAATTTTATAGAAAGGAAACCTAAAATCAAGAAACACCTGAAAAGATTTAAAACACACACACAAAACTCCTTAATAAGTAACAAAGTCCCTACCAAACAGGCAAAAATCACTAGCAAATATAGGTGAGAAGACGGAAAAATTGGGACATTTCCCCCCACACTATTTGGGGAAACAAGCCTGCACTGGCTGCTAGAGGTGAGTATTAACCTGCCCCACGACCCAGTAATGACGCTCACACTAAGACTCTTGCACACACGCAGCCACAGAACACGCTGCCGGATGTTCACGCTGAACTATTTGGGGGAACAGCACATGTCCGTCACAGCAGGATAATTAAGATGTACGAGGTGATGTAAGTAACCTAACTGTACCCAGCGTGGTCTAATCTCTGAAGGGCAAAGCGAGTGGAAAACCGCGCTGCAAGACTCCACACGGCGTGGTTCCACGCACAAAGCTCAGCACGCTCGAGGCCCAGAGCGGAGACACGTGCACCTGACACAGCTCCTGCAGCAAAAGCGAGTTCAGGGCTGACACGGGCGGGGCCCCCTCGAGGAGGGGGAGCAGCACACACAGCAGGGAGCCGCGCGGCAGACCTAACGGCGGGACACTCTCGCGGCAGGCCCTCCACCAGCAGCATTTCCTTCAACAGCGTCTCCCCGCGACGCTGGGGGAAGCCGGATTCCCGGCGAGGCCGCTGCGTGGCGTCTGCTCTCTCCCCGCTGGGTGGGCTCTCCCCGGGCGCTCCGGGCCTCCCCACACTGGGGATGTGCACCAGGAGCAGTGGCTCGCAGCTGCCCCGGGCGTGCGCGGGTCCGAGCCCCGAGCTGCCAGCGGCCGGGGGAGGCTCCTGGCTGCCCACGGCGCTGAACAGGAGTAAGTGGGTTGGAAGAGGTCTGATCTTTATTCTTCTTTCTTAAATGTATATATAACTCACATTTATTTCCATGTTTAACATTAGATGTGTTTTGAGGTCTTTATTTAGAAGTTTGGTGATGTTTTTGTGACCAGAAATAGAAGGTAGAAACTTAATTTTTATCAATTAGCCTACGTTAAAATTGGTTCCGTTTTATGTCATTTAGCTTAAAATCAGTTTCCAAGAACCTATCAAAGATGTTAAGTGAGGACTTGCTGTATTTTCATGTACACTGAGTTATTCCTAGTACTTTACTCATATCTTATGAATATCCTTCATATCTACTATTTCATAAAAATATTTTTTGAAAAACTCTACACTATTCAGAGATGACAACAGTCAAGAGAAAATTAGATATCCAAACACGAACCACTGTAACTAATTCAGTATATACTCATAGGTGTAGAGTTTTCCTAAATAAAAAAAAAAAAAAAAAAAAAAAAGCCAGGCCACTAGGAAATGGTTTCATTATACGCAATCGTTTATTTAAAATAATTTTCCAAGTCCCCCCAAAATGTAACAGGTTTTGTTTCACTTTTATCCCCTCAGACAGCTAGAAACCAACACTTGTGTTATTTTTGTATTTTGTTTCAACCACTATCTATGCCATATTAGCGACATTTTCCTCTATTAATACTAGAACCAAATACACACACCAATTAGCAGTTACGGTGCCACTGACAAATTCCTTGGGGTTATCAGATGCTGGAGCTATTTCCAGCCGTCTCCACCCAGCCGTCTGGTTTAGGAACATCATGCGACCTCCCCAGGCCTACTTTCTCTCGAAAAATAATTTACTGGATTAGATTATTTCTATTGTTTCATCTGGCTATAAAATCACATGATATAGTCATCATTTTCGATTAATCTTACTTTATCTTATAAAGCATAATCACCTATATTCAAGTAAATATGAATGCATTAAAAATAAACACAAACCCAACATTGCTAATCACTCTAATATATTCCCATTAGTACATAAAAGGGCTTTCACTTGGATTTTTCACTTTGTTTCCATTTCTTTATTTAAAATCAATAAAGTCACAACTGTAAAATGAATGCATTTAAAAACAAAAGATACATTTCAATGACAAAAATATGCAGTCATGAATACTTATTGTGTACACTTTGCCAAGGTCAACAGAATGAAATGTGCTATGAAAAAGTCACCTTCACACTCTGCCTTAGCAAAGACTCTCTCCTGACAGTGAAACTATCAGTTAAGAACATGTACATTTGCATATCTGGGTATCAGCTCCCAAAACCTGCGTGTGCAGGGGTGCTAGATAAAAACACGTGGGCACCAGGACCTTAAAGTTAAGCTTCTAAAACTAAAAATTGAAAATAAAATAGATGACAACTGTATGAAACTAATTTTTTCCCTGACAGAAGTGACACGAGGCATTTCTTAACTACACCAGCTTAGGGGTCATCTGGGGAAACCGGTGGAGGTGCCCCAACCACAGCCCTAGCCTCTGTCATTGGTATAAAACACACCCCTCTATGAAATTATCTTTTACACGACTAAAGTATTCTCATTTGTTTGGGATAATTTATGCTTAGAATATTTTAAACACTTGCTTTTAACATGTGGAACTTCCAGAACTGAGAGTTTTGAAACCCTCTACATATTTCTAGTAGTCGAACACTTGCACATAATAATCCTTTCACTACACACTGATTGGTTTCCTTAAGCAGATCTGATCAACTATTGTAACAGTGATGCTGGTGGCAGTAAGTGATACTCTCAAACTTTTCCTTGTAAATAAGACATAATCCTTTTAATACTAATGACTAAATATGCCACAGTGGATACCTTCTTACCAAGGAATGACTGATTTCAGGCCTTAGTAGGATGAAAAATAGCATTTACTCCCTGTGCTACCACTGAAGAGCTACAACAGCCAAGTGATAGTTTAAGCATGTGACATTCAGCAAAAAAATGAAAATAATAATTTCACCAAAAGAAACAACAGACGTGGGAAGAAATTAAATGAGCACAATGTAGGTCCCAAAGATCACCCTAGATTCTGAACTCAATTTTCAAAGCAAGAGGCATCTATGTACAGTTTCTGTGAATATCTCTCATACTATGGAAACGATTTTCAAAGCAAATGCAGGCTAGCTCAGTCCAAGATGAACACTCAGATGAACTACAAGTCCCGTTTGCTAAAGTGCACTGCCGACCAGCCTGCTCCGGCCCTGCGGCCGAGAGAGACCTGGAGTGGCTGTCCCCCACGCCCACTCGTTCACTTACTCACTGTGCTGGATTTTCTTAAACCAAACACTTTACACAGCGGGCTATAGAAAAACAATCCTAAATAGACTATCTTCTAAAATTCCAGAGTAATATAACCCCATTATTTTAAATACTGAAAATGTAAAGGGTCCATAGGAATTAAGAGTATTAAGCATAGACTTCTTACTGTAATAGTCACTTGACATGTGCTCTTAAAATCTCTATGAGAGAAGCAGGTATTTTCCCCGTGTCTTTTGGCAACAGGTTCAAAAGCAGAAGCAGCAGTGCCGTGGGATCCACGAACCTCTTTAAAGCTGAATTCCTCAGTGTCTGTCGTTATTGCACTCGTATGCTGCCCGGAACACAGCGACCGTAACTCGGCAACTGTGGTTGCAAGAGTAAGGTACGTGGGTCTACAACGCGTTTGAGTTTCCACAGAAGGCAGGCAGACAGCTGCGATTCAAATAAGATAATATACGCCTAACTATTGAACATTATATAAAATGAAGTCTCACCCTCACTGCTAAAATCTGTAGGGATCAGAAAAAGACTCACAGTACACGATGTCCTAACTATGGTTGTGTCCACTCCTGAAGTCACTCTGAGTTAAAACAGCAATTTTCCCAAGATTTAAAGAAAAATATATTTTATAAAAGGGATTCTTTTTAATCACTGGCTACATCATTTTTATTACTAAGACGGAAACAAGTTATACTTTCTCCCCATTATAATTTGCTCTGATAAGAGATCTCTCCTTTCATGTCTACAAAAGGTACATCTTCAAGGCTAAAGGATTATCAGTAGGTGCTTTCTTCCTGACTATTTCTCTCTGAAGTATGTCAAGTACGCCTTTAAAGACTCGGGGAGCGGGAGCTTCATGATCTTCTCCCTCAGCAGGTTCTGCGGGGGCTCCTCGGGCTTCGGGGCCTCGCCGGGCTCCCGCTCCTCCTCCTCCCGGTCCTCCTCCATCTTCTCCTCATCGTCGCTGTCCGGAGGCTGCGGGATAAGCTGGTTGCCCACGAACACGTACGTGTTGATCCTCTGCTTAACTCTCCGCCTCTTCCTCTTGGGCGGGGCCCTTGGGGGAATCCCCTTGGCCTGCATCTCGTCGTTGATGAAGTTTCTGAGGGTGCGTCGGATGTAGATTCGAGCCAGGTCCTGCAGGTTCCTGACGGCACAGGGCGCTGCGGGAAGAGCCACGCGTTACTCATCGCTTCAAGGTTCATAGGAAACAACAGGCTTTCTCAGTGAACGTTAGAAAGCAGCAAGTATAAAAACTGAATTTCACTAACAAAGATTCCAAGGCGTTTACCAAAAGCAAAGCACCATCTAGGAACTGAGGACAGCCCTGGCCGGTGGCTCAGGTTGCAGGTTCAATCCCTGGTCCAGGCGCATACAGGAGGCAACCAATCGATGTGTCCCTCTTGCATTGATGCGCCCACCCCACACCTTCCACTCTCTCTGAAAAATCAGTGGAAAAAAATATCCTCCGGGGAGGATTAACAACAACAGCAAAAACACAAACATGGCCAAACTACACCTTCCTGTACGTATTTCCAAACTATTCCACCCCCGTCTTCCAAACACCAATAAATGGTACCACCACCTAGCTGTTCAAGTCAAACTTTAGATCCCTCCTTTCCCTCGGCCACCACCTCCTACACAGTCCACTACTGCTCTGCCTTTAACCCACCAACATTATCCGCATCAGCACTGACTCCCTCCTCGGGTGTCATCTGTCCTCTACAGCACAGCCAATGAGCTTCCACCACCCTAAAACTTATTTCCATGACCAAGCTCTTTTCAGCCTAAAGGCTTTTATGTCTGCTGTCCCTCTATATGGAAAATAACGCCACCACGTTAATAAATTACAATTAATAATCTCACAACTGTAATTAATAAATTCATTTTTGTTTAACTTGTCCCTTCTTTTCATGTTTCCATGAAGGCAGCTAACAGTGTCCGGTGCAACGTAGGGGCTTGTTATTAAAAAAAAAGGGAATAAACCCACTGACTCTATTACCACATTTCTATTTAATTCTTCCTAGTTATACAGTCCATTAAGTCCCAAGCATTGAGGTGAAATCACAGTTCAACCAGTAAGGGCCAGCAGTTACTTACGGAGTCCCACGGAATCGGGCTTGCCATTGTCATTCTTACTTGGCTGCACAAGTGGAGCAAATGAAACAGCAAGAATATTTTTACTTTCCCAAGTATTCTGTCCAGTTCGCATAATTTGTGTTAACTATTTAGAGGGAGAAAAGAAATAGAAGAGCTTAATTCAGGAAACGTTACTGCCTTACAGTCACAACTTTGTTTTAATGAAATAATTGCCAGTGATTGCTTTATAATCACTTGTATTTAAACGCAACCAAATTACTTTCATTCACATATTAACTATAAAATAATAAAGAAGGAATCACAAATATTGGCTGTTCAAGACAGATATTTCAATGCAAATGGAATGTCCAAATATGACCAAGTGTCCCTGCATATGACACCGGGGGGTCTGATGGCTTCTAGGGGTAGAATTCCAATCCACACCTGCCACTGGCTCCCGAAGCATGTCTCACACTGGTTCCATTGTTTGGTCACAGCATTCTACATTAACAAACCATGTTCTGATTACTGTACCCGCGAGTCAACTCATGATCTTCCATGCTGACAATAAAATATAGATTCTGACCTCGATTTGACACCTCACTAATAAATGTCATCAGTCATAAAGGGTTTAGGAGTTGTACCTACTCAGCAAACACCCATCACCAGCCCTTGGAAAAAAAGATTAGCCCAGTATGTAGCTTGACCAAGTCAGTATCTTCAATTTATGTTATAAAAACCATTATTATGTTTTATATCAGCATAACAGTATATAATAAATATGTAATAAAACACAAATGGGAAGCCATAGTTTAAATGTCCAAAAGTGTAGCTTTAAAAGAAAACAGAAAAAGACTGTTCATCTGGGGGTCTCAACTCTGGAATCATTCGAGTAACATTTTTTCAGGAACATTTTTCAATGAGTGTCTTCATATTATGTCTCCTCAATAATGACAAACAATTTTCACAATGCACAGCAATCATGAAATCCACTGAGATGCAAGTGCTGTGCTGGGCTGTCGAGGGACCCCCAAGGTACATAAACGTGCTGGGTCTCGGTCACTGTAGACAAGCGTACCTTCTACTGTACAAACCACGTGGTGTTTTAAACATCTTTGATTTAGGTTAATAGTATTAAAGCTATTTTTCTGAAATCGATTTTTATAAAATTTTAAAGTAATCTGCTTTACAAAGATCCACTGGGGTCAACCTGGCAAATGCAGTAGCCCCCCTCACCCACAGGGGATATGGTCCAAGCCTCCCAGTGGATGCTTGAAACCACGGAGAGGATTAAACCCATATAAGCTATTTTTATCCTATACATATATACCTACAATAAAACTTAATTTATTAATTAATCACGGTCACAGACGAACAACAGCCAATAATAAAGCGGAACTGTAACGCCGCACTGTAACAGAAGCTGCGCGAACACAGTCCCTTTCCAAATGCCTACTGTGCCGCCCTCGGCCTTCTTGTTTTGTAGGGGGTGACAGAGCCTGATGCAGCTGAGAAGCTTCACCCCTGCGCTCAAAGGGAGCACTTCACGGGGCTCCTCTGACATATCTGAGTCCACAGTAGCACCGCTCTCGCCCTTTGGGGCCATTATCAAGTAAAGTAAGTTGAATGCTCGACAGTTGATCTGATAACTGAGATGGCTACTAAGTGACTGAAGGGCAGACAATGCACACAGTGTAGCTACGACAGACAAAGGGACAATTCATATCCAGGACGGACAGAGTGAGAAGGCTCAAGACTTCATCACGCTACTCAAAATGTGGTGCAGCTTAAAGCTTATGAACTATTTATTTCTTGAAACTTCCATCTAATATTTCTGGACCATGGTTGACCACAGGTAACTGAGGCAACAGACAGTGAAACCAAAGATATGGGGGGACTTTTGTACCACAAAGACAGCAGCTCAGCGTGGGTGACAGACCAAGTCTCTTCTAATACCAGTAGAGGGAACTTTTTTGTACCTGCTTTGATTAAATAATCAAGAGTCCATTTCAAACATTTTTATGCATTGAGATCTATGAAGATTATTTCTTCTTTAAAAATTACACTGTACCTTTATGGTGTTACACTTCCCACCTTAAACTAATGTGCCTGTTTTCTATGCCATTAAGCAGAAGGACAGTGACACTACCTGATCTTCTATAGGCATGACTAGAATGCCTCCAACCTTCAGTAGTATCTTCATGTAGTTCTCATGGTCCTTCTGGACTCCAGCTCCACAGTAAACCCGATCGTACTGATGACTGTCAGATGCTATCTGGAGACAATTGCCAACCACAAAGGCAGGTTCACAGAACTCAAATCTGCATGAAAAATAAATACGCTTTAATTCATTTAAACGAAAAATCAGATAAAAAATATTCTCTGAAGTAGTGAAGTTACCAAAATTAATTCTAAGGATAAAATATTATGAAATTTGACTTAAATATCATACTTATGAAGTTTAACACTGATTAAATGTTATTTTACTATCACTATAGTATAAATATTTTTTAAATATTAACCTACATTTTTGCCACACTGCCCCTCACTTAAGGCTTAAAAAATGAAGATGACGAAGAGCCCATCACACCACCAACCTTATGACATCACACAAATGATATACAAGGATAAGAACCACAGGATGAGAGAGAGAGAGAGAGAGGGAGGGAGGCTTCACTTCCCACCGCCCTTTCCAAAAACACCCGGGGGCCGCTGGAAACGGGGAGGGCAGGTGCAGCATCAGCTGTGCGAGACACTCGCTGCAGTCACTGCAGCAAACCTGTCGGGAGATCCCAGCGTGACCATGTGCCCTCGCAGCCACTAAGGTCAGGGAGATGTCCCTAACAAGTTTAGCAGAGCTGTGTTACAGGCTTGGGACAGACAGCAGGTGGACAGTAATTTTCCTTACTGCTGCTCTGGCCCCGTGGTCTCCCTGCGCGACCGAAGAAGAGAGATGGCTTCAAAGCAAAGCATTTTCTACCAACCCCTTGCCCTTGGTTCCTGGTTACAGTGTTGGTTCATGGCACAGAGAGCTGTGCTTTTACAAACTTCCCTGGTTAGGCTCCTACTTTAGTCCTTAAATCCTGACAGACCTGAAAATAGTCTCTAACATATAACATAATTACAACCTCAATACACTAAAACGTAATCATTTTTAAAGTTAATTAATGAAATATCCTTTCACTTTTAAGTGGATTAGAGTTAATATGACCACACAGCAAAACCAGGCTACCGTGTAAGGATGAAGTGATTTACATTAAGTCTCAGCATGCGGTGAAAACAGACACTGACCAAGTCAGTCATTTATACTTTATCAAATGTATATATATCCTGTTCTTTGGTAATTAACATTATGCAGTACGTTTTCATTAAAATACAGGCACATTATGATCCCTGATAGTTAAGGGAGTTTTACCATGACGCCCTGTCTGCTTGGTGGGTGGGGTGGGGTGGAAAGGGTTGATGGGGGTCAGTGAACAGCGTGTACCCTGTAATCTCTTCTCCACATCCCCTCGCTAATGTAATCTCTGCCCCATTCTCTCTTGTACTGTGACTGCCTCCTCACTGCTCACACTTCCCTTCCACTGTTTCGCTACCTACAGGGCAGGAAGGTTCAAGCTCCTTAAGGGTGTCCCACGGGCTCTTTATGATTCTCGTCAAGCCGTCCTTCCAGGATTGTTTCCGGGCTCTGCTCCCACCCACACTGCATTAAATTATTTGCTGCTAGTTGCGTAGAGGAGCTATTACAAGGTGTTCTGAAACACTGTATCTGTGCTGTTCCTTTGATAAATGCCTGCTATCCCTCCAAGATACAGTTCAAATATTAGCTTTGCAACAAAATCTTATCCAACTCTTTAACAGAATCTCATTTTTTCCACTTGCAGAGCACACAAAAAGTGTAAATTTACCTATAGGGACCATGTTTCATTTCTCTTTTATATTAAAGACTGGTACAACCTATGACTGTCTAAAATATGACCAAAATATAATTTATAACTTGTTGGCTTTCAAGTAATTAGATACTGTGGATCAGTGGCTTAATCACTTTATCAAACTCACAGTAAACATTCTTTAAAAAGAAAAAGACTATTGTCAATGAAGTCTATCTAAAAATCTTCATTCATTTTAAATAATTTACTTTCATAATAATTTAAGTCAGTCATAATTTTCAGCATGACTGGGAACATAAAATTTAAATAAAAATTTAAATTTGAATTATTAAAGCCCTTTTTATCATCAAGTCTGTTCAATAAACTCAAAAATATTCTTATAGTTTTAAAAGCTTCCTACTATTTAAAAACACATGACAGGCCTGGCCGGGCGTGGCTCAGCGGTTGAGCATCGACCTATGATCCAGGAGATCACGGTTCAATTCCCAGTAAGGGCACAGGCCCGGGTTTTGGGCTTGATCCCCAGTAGGGGGCGTGCAGGAGACAGCCAATCAATGACTCTCTCATCATGGATGTTTCTATCTCTCTCTCTCCCTCTCCATTCATCTCTCTGAAATCAATAAAGATATATTTTAAACAAAAACAAAACAAAACAAAAGTGACAGCTTATAGAATGATCACCTAGAAAAACACCGTTACAAGTGAACAGCTTACAATCAAAACTACTTCTCATACTAGTGATATTTATACATCTCATCCCAGCAAAATGAATTAGCAAGAATTTAGTGCCTGATCTAGAATTAAATGTAAGTCCGGTCAAGTTACCTGACACTAGTAATTAGCAAAGTTCATCATGTCAAGTACTACTTTCTGAGCACCAGCTGTGTATAAAGCCTGGAAACACAATGGGAAACACCCATGCCTACATCTGTGGAAGACACAAGCATACAACTATCTGACCAATTAAAGATTAATTTACAACTTCGGTAAATGCTCTAAAGGAAAGAAACAGGATTCTCTAAGACTGAGGATGAAAGGAAACTAACAGACCTGGGGAGGCAGAGGAAGGTTCCCTGAGAAATAGGAAGTTATGATCTTAATAAGGAGACAGGACAATCTAGAGCCACAATATCCAAGAGAGCAGCCACTGCCCCCCCCGTGGATACTGAGCCCATAAAGTATGGCTAGTCCACACTGAGGTGTGAGAATAAAATTAAGCAGGGATTTCAAAGATTCAAACAAAAAAAGTGAAATATATCAATATTTATCCTGTATTTGTGTGTATCTGCATATGACATATGCACTTCAAAAGCCCCATACACGTCAGCAACTGTCTGACCTGTCGCCTGTGACGGGCGTCAGCGGAGTCCTCACCACACCAGCCTGTGAGACATCCTCCTGGTCTTCCTGCTGCCCTTGAATATTCCTCTGAATTACCTGCACCTCCACCACCTAGTCCAGTCCTCAAAACATTTACTAAACAAGCAAACCATATCAGAAACATAAATGTTTTGTCAACTTTTCCACCTACCAACTTTTAAGATGAACCCAAAGTTGACAAATATGTTAATCACAAAAATCTCAGGACTAGAAGAGAAACTTGCCTAGATAAAGGAAAAAATATGTAAAAATATATGCCTATGGCATTCTCTGCATCAACATGATGGTTCTTGTTTTACTAACTTGGTTGCTATAAATAACTGTAGCTTAATGTTACAGAATGCATACGTTTTTTTCTCCCCAAAATGCCAAAAAACAACAAAAAAAAACCTCAAATAGTAAAACAGAACAAACCCTTTCCTTTTACGAATGATTCGACTGTTCCATATACTGAGAGGCACTTTTTAGGAGCCTCTATTAAGGTCTTAAATAAGCCCCCCTACTCTACGAAACAACCTGATGTGATCCCTTACGACGCAGCCGAGAACAAGTCTATTCGCTTCAATGCAGAAAGCATTACAAAGGCTCATTAGAGAAAAATTAGATCTCTAAATTTATAAGTAATTTCTATTAGTGGAAATGGAACAGATACTTCTAACATATGAATGTGGGTCTTTACACTTCTATTTGAGGTTATTTATATTAATTTCCTTTACCAGAATACTCTACTTTGAAACTTTAATTGAACTTGAGCCAATATTTCAAAAGGACTATTTCTAGATACAAAATACTAAAACTTCAAGGACATAGTAAAATGGGGAGGAAAGTATAATATTTTTATTACACTGAAATATTTAGGACATAATAGCGAATTTATACACCAAACACATTACAAAAAGGTGGTAACACTACCAATGTAGTAGTTATAAGAAGTGTCTACCAGAGCGTATCCTATCTGGGGACTGTTTATTATACTTACAGCTATGACCTTTTCCACCAAACAATACAAGAATCCTTCACATTAGTAAAAAATTCAGCTCTCAAATTCCACATATTTACATTATTTTTCATATATAAATGCGCTATGGATCATCTCTCCTCATACAAACTTACAGATGAGCTTTAGATTTCTGACTAGGCATGTGGCTGAGGATACTTAGACGTTGTGTATTCTGATACTAGAATTATGACTTTTATTACAGCATTTCATGTAAATGAATTCGTATCAATGGAACTAATAATATTTTTTCAAAAAGTCGAAGATGAAAAATTTCCAGGCAAATGTTTACGGACAAGCTCATGTCCGGATCCTGTGTTCGTATCCTATGTATGAAGAGTTACTGCTCTAAGACCCAGGTGGCGGTGATATCAGGGTAAACTGCAAATCCCGTTAATTCTTCCAGCGAAGAAAAGAGAAAGAGAACCTTCTCTTCCTCAGGCGTTTACTGCCTTCTGACAGCGTCTGACCTGGGTGTCCACAGACCTCTACAGGCAAACAAGTACATTTTCTATATGATCTCCAAGACTAGCAACAAGCTAACCAGATGTTTTCAGTTCGTTACAAAATAGTACTACACTATTTATAGGTTTACATATAAAATCTAAGTTAAAAATAGTGAGAGTGAAAATTCAAATGCCTCCTTTTCACATCAACCCCACACCAAATGAAACCTGAGAAAAGGGAGGGAAACAAAACGGCAACTGGTCTACCAAAACATTTCCTATGTGGGGAAATTGTTACTCATAAAAGTATGGTTCACGTGTTCTTTCCCTAGTTTTTGTTCCATTTTGGGAGGTTGATTAAAATTTTGTATCTGTTATTAAAATGAAAAGCAGCATCATTTTTATTCTTTGAAGAACATTTGCAAAACAAAGTTTCCCAGATAAAGATGACTCATACTCCTAACTTACACTGAATTTTATCTCCCAACAATGTTATCTGCATAAAAAAACAGTTCTGAAATGTACATAGTAACTACAAGTTCACTCACTTTAGACTTGTTTATTGATTTAAATCTTAACGACTGCTTTTTAGACTCTCTTATGCAGAGGAGAAAAAATATCTGACATACTCTAAAATGGACACTGAAAACCACTTGAGAAGACAGAGCACACATACATCTTGGTTTACACGAATACTTGCCCAAAATAACACCAGGATTCCGACCACTTACCTCGGCAGTGGTTTTCTTTACAGGTGCGTGTTGGAACCTCTTCGTCTTGAGACGGACAGATGGTTTCGTTCACAGCAGGGACCTTGCCAACTTGCCCATACAATTCTTTTGAGAAGCTGCTAGGAGATCAGGGTGACCTAGCCTTGCCCTGCAGCTTCCCTCTTAGACGGATAGTCTAGGTCTAGGAGCTGACTGAGAGTAGAAAAAACAACATTCCCCTTCAATACGCTGTTGACGTGGGGCTGACAATTTGCACACCGAGTTGATTGTGTGCCACAGGAGGCTGTCAGACATGTTAGACTAGTATCCCAATGGAATGATGGGTTTCAAGGACACAGGAAAAAATCCTACCTTGTTCTCAGACCTCATCCAGAACAAGCTGCCAAATAAATCACAGAAACTTCTTTTCCGTAAAACACTTTTGTCAAAGTACACATTTTGAGTTTTAAGGGCTATGACTATTTCATTACAATAAAATGAAACTTCAGAACTTTCCACTGGGAAGAAAACCCAGGGAAATGTTAATCTTTTGATCTCCAAATGCCGTTAAACCATTCAAAACCTCTTACAATAAATAATTAAGCTACTGAATTTTTAAAAACTTTAAAAACCAATGACTTTACCTTTTCAAGTGTTTCCCTTCCAAATGCATCAAACTCATCTCAGAATAATTCCAACATTAATGTAAAGCAAAGAGTTAAAAGTAAATACAGTAAGTTTTCATTGAATGAAGCTTTAGGAAAATCAAAAACAATCTCTAAATTTTTGCAGGAAATGTGAGAGGTACCTCATACAAAAGTGAACCTTCACGTATTTCAACAATAGTGTTTTTCTCCTAATAATGTGTTTGAAGCCATTAACTTTTCCCCACGCCATTTAACTGATGTTATTAAATATATAACTGACAGCTCTGAGGACTGTTTAAGAATTTCTCTGTCCCAACAATCAAATGTTTGTCACGATTAAAAACTGTGTTTACAACCTGTAATAACTTCCATAAAACTACCATCTGAACATTACTGGCGTATAAAAATCTTCAACTACCTGAAAAACATTTTGAAATAGTGTGAAGGTCTATTTCTAGGGAGCAAAGTGACTTCAAATACGCTGCAACTCTCCTGAAGACTAAGCAGCACCACAAAAGGGAGAGACTGGACAAAGCAGAGCAGCAGTGAATTTTCCAATGCAAATCGGATCACATGAAAAATAAATACCTATCACTAAAAACAAAATGAGGACACTACACATTGCCATAAATCAATTAAACTTCCTATAATAAACGATGACACTGTCTCTGAATTTAGCCTGAGGAGTGCACGGCCTCTTCCTCCTCTCTGCCCCAACAGTAATTCACACCCACCGCAGGCCTCACCGACGGCAGGGCAGGTGTGCCCTGGGATAAAAGTGCGCTAGTGCCTGTAACAGCACTCCTTCCTGCTAACCTGAAGGACGTACGCGATAAAAATAAAAGTGCTGCTTCACTCTGCGTGTGGGGCTAGGCCGCCAGGCTGTGCTCCGCTGGCAGCAGCTCAGAGCTGGGAGGAGCGATTAGAACCCATCAGTGCTTCACAGAATCGTAGCTACATCAGAACCAAAGGGAAGAGGGGCCTGGCTGTGTTACCGCCTGACTCGCTCTGTCCTCCCATTTGGGAAACGTGGACACCAATGCGCCTCTAGGACTGTGTATTAAGCAGTTAGGATGGCACATGGTGTTTAACAGACATTACACATTAGGTGCTAGTATCTTCATCACCTCATTACTGCTTTTAGTACTCACATCATGACTCATTTATATGACAAACCATATAAAAACAAATCCATTCAAATAGAAAGAAAATCTTCAATAAATTTGACAATGCTGTACTCATTTGATGACTGAGATTAAAATACTTGCACAATCAGCTCCAGTACCTGGGGGGAGAGAGGTGACAGGATCTATTGTCTGACAGGGAAATGGCACACTCCAAAGCATGCGCTCTGGGAAGCCAAGGGCACTACATGCTCATGTTTACGTGTTATATGAACATATAAATGTAGCTAGAAATACATGCTATACCAATTCCTAACTCACTTGCAAAGTATTAACAGGGTAAAGGTTTACAAATCAGGTCCTTTAACTGACTTACTCTTCCAAGGAACCACAGCTGGAGAGATTATTTTGCTTACTGTACATGCACAAATACTGATTCATCTAATTTAACCTTTCCTAACCTTCTCCTTCCCTCACGAAAGCCAGACACCCAAGGGCCCTTAAAACGTAGGCCCAAAGACTTGTCTAGGCCCAAGAGGACTAAATGAAGATGCTCTGGGGAGTCTGTGTGAGGAGAATAATGGGGGTCAGCAAACTACGGGTAACAAGCCGAATCCCGCCTGCTGCTTGCTTTATAAATGAAGCGTCTACACTAGACACCCGGGACACCATGAAGATGAACAAGAGGGTCTTAGAGCCAGTCAAGCCTGAAACACTGTGTTTCCATTTAAGGAAGATAACTACTCTGAGTCTATACATTCAAACATACAGTGTACACAAAGTTACAAACCCTGTAAATCATAAATAGTAACACAAACTTCAGAAACAACTATATTGTAAAATCTGACTGGTTGTTTTAATTAAAATAACCAGGCCTTTAGAAATTATAAAGAAGCATGAGGATCAGTCACATCACCATATTTTACGATTCATCACTTTATGAGAGATCTGCCTAATGTAGTAATATGAAATACAGCCAAGGAAATGTAATCATTTTAATTACATGAAAACAATTTTAGAAAAAATTTTAAAACTGAGGCCCTTAAATACCTATAGTCTTCAAACTTATCTGTGCTACAGATTATTTAATATTTAAATTGTATCAACACAGAAAAATGCTTTAAATAATGACATATTTTGCTGTCTCCTAGGAACACGCCCACTTATCAGCAATAAAACTGAGCTCCAAAGACACTTGTATAGAGGGGCTTCAGTGATTCAAGATATTTCCTTGAGTTTGTTCTCCTTGATTAATAACTGAATTATCTAGGTCATCATGTATGGATACATAAAACAAATGTATTACTATCCCAGATATATATAAAGACCTTACAAAAGCCCTTAAACATTTACTTTTACTAACATTACTTTTATATTTTCTAAGTGCAAATGTATTCAAAAGGTACTTATGTTATACATAGTTTCAACATCAAAACAAAAATGTAAAACAAAAGTTCAGTAAGTTTAACAGAATTCTGTAATTCCAACAAATATAAAAATACTTATATCTACATCTTAAGCACTTAACATGCTACTAATCTATTCATAAGACAGATAGAAATACAAAAAGATGCTATCATTGAACCTCAATTTCTTATAAAATTACTTGGACTAACAACTATTTTGTTTCTATCAATGCTACTCTTGGAATTAGAATATGAACCAACACGGTAAGCACTTGAAAATAATTCAAAATATGAATTAAATGTTAATTATTTATCAAGACAAGCATAAATGAGCTAAAGGATGAATTCAGCAAATTGATGCAGAAAATTCAAGTGGCTTGCTCAAAGCCATGGAATTATAGAAAATTAATTCTGAGCATTTCCAAATTCTCCCAAGCTTGCCTGACTGATGTCTGTAATAACCCAGTTACAATCACACCTAAGGAGCCGTGAAACCTCCCCTTCCCTCTACAACTGAGGATTTTACAGCAGAGCAGCAGTTTTCTGTTCCTCAACCAATCACACGCCTCTAGCCAGAGGCAGTGGCGAAGGGGAGAGGACAGGGGAAGGGGGAGGAGGGCAGAGAACCGGAGGAGAGAGAGACACACTGCAGCAGACATCCATCCACAGGGCCTTCTTGGCTCTGTCCCCAAGCCTAAACTCTAGAAAAGCTCTCAGCTCTGATCTAGGCTCCTCCAAGTTTCTCACGTCCATGGTCATGGCCAAGGCCTGCAGATGAGCTGGAACCCTGAATGACTCTGCATTAAAACTTAGTTATATAAAATGACTTAAGTTGCAAGCTTGTGATTGAGTATCCTTTTAATGTGTTCTTTGAAAATATGACTAGTTGAGAAAAATAAATGCCCTCCAAATATTATATAATCTCAGAGTTCATAGACTTTAGCATAAGAAGCCCTTGCTCTATAGTAGTATCACTGCTGAATTTGAGAAACATTACGCACCAAACAGACTCCGCTGCCAGGTGAAGAACCAAAGATTACCGTATTTCTTCAAAGGGAAGTATGATGTCAAAACAATGGTTTTATAAACAAATTTATCACAAGATATATCAATGTATTTGTACCATAATTTCCTCTAGATATATTACAAAATAACTGAGTATTTTTAAGAAAGTCCCTTGTATGCTAACAGGTATCATTCTTATGTTACAAATAAAGACGGCAGAACTACTAAATTATCATCCCCAAAGTAAAACCAGTTCCAGAAAAGTATTCTAATCAAACATCTCTATCTTCAGAAAAGGTCCTTGTATTATGTTTAATGAATGAAACAGTACCCTATTAATAAAGTGATAGAAGCATATGATTAAAAAGTAAGTTATAATTTACTATAGACTTACAAAGTCATACTATAGGATAACTTTTATAAGTTAATCTTTTCTCTCATTTTATACCACAATGACTTTTTGCTGCATTCAAATGAACTCAGGGTCAATAAACTAACACTACTGAGGAACAGGCACGTCACACATCTATTTGCCAAGTGCTTTAAAACCAAAGCTATAGACATAAATACTTACTTATCAAAGCTATCGCTATTTTTGATGAAGCTCTCGAGCTTTTCCTTGGCATATTCCACCACATCTGAGTGAAGCTCAATCCCATGATTTATTCCAAAAGGACCTGCAATCGTAGCAGTACTTGTATTAAACAAATATTAATAAGTCATTACAGAGCTCGTTTAATTTCTGCTTGTTTATCACAGGAACATTGAAAGAGGGCTTGAAAATATGTATCTGCTAGCCAGATTTAAAAGGATGAATGGACATCCTGGAATTTATACTGCTTTAATTAAAAAACAAAAAACCAAGATAATGCTTATCTGTCAAGATAATACTGCCAAAGAAAGAGTCATATGCTATATGAAGTTTAAGTTCCTTACCATTACATTTTATCACTGCTTAAAAATTTGGTAATTCTAAAACCCTAAAGCTACATGGAGTTAAATTTCTTTACCATTACATGTTATCACTGGTTAAAAACTTGGTAATTGTAGAATCTCGAAACCATGGGCTGACATAGATATAACATAAATATCTCACAGTATCCCCCCCCCCCCC